AAATTACAGAAATAGATGAAGTACCAACGAAATTAAAATCTTTTTGATTGTAGATTCTTGACATCGACACTCATTCTTTCGCCGTTAGAGAGCTATATATTGTTTCTAGAATGGATTTTGTAGAGAGACTGAAGAATATATATAGGGTTCTGAAAAAGATAGAAGTTTTGTGTAGAGTTTTAAAGGGTTATGGTTTAAACTGGTTACTCTTTTCATAGTTGAGAAAAAGTATGAATCGTTTAAACTTTTCAAAGTGAGATCGTTCAGGAAGAATGTCGTGGCTTTGAAGGAGATGAAATCCGAAACAAAGGATCGTGGAAGGAAGATCGTGTGTTTGTGGGAAGTTAAACTTGTAATTTGTTTTTTATTAATTGATTACTTAAATCTGATTTCAGGAAGTTTCGGAAACTGAAAATAGTTATTTTCATTGTAATTGCCACTTGTCAAAATATTGTTGGTGCAGTGACTTGTGATTTGGTATAACAAGGATAAAAAATATATATAAGGAAAAGTAAATGGTTTCGGTTTGTCTTGCCACTATTTTTTCTTTCGGCAGAACCAAAACAAAAAAAATGTGGAATTTGCGTGAACGTGGAACTTATAACTGCAATGGAAATATATTTTATTGACTTATTGAAAAAAACCGGTTTTATTTTTGTTTTTGGTTTGGTTCATATCATTTATTTGAATGTAGAAAAAAATGGTATCTATATAATTTATTTATTTGAACATAGACACAGTTGTATGTGTTTAATTCTATTTTTAAATCTATTATTTTGGTTTGGATAAAATATAATCGATTTATTTGGATCGAACATCTTTAAATTACTCGGTTCGCATTTTCTCTAGCTAAGAATAGTATAATATTCGGAATCTTCGAACTGGATTGCAAGTTTATTGAAATGTTATAATATTTCTAACGCAAAGTTTTTGAAGAGTATGCAACTATTAGAAAAGGTGAAAAAAATTTAAAGGATTAGAGAAAATGAAAGAGACGTTTTTTTTTTGTGTGAAATAAAACGAGGAAAACGTTTTTCGTTTGTAAAACTTTCGAAAACTAGTGAGAAATTCTTTGTCCATCTGTGATAAATTCAATTGGCAAGAGTCACACCAGACGAACAATTTTATCCCCTCGACCAATTCTCAACCAACAAGTGTTCAATCCCTCGAGCTTTGCATCAACTCGAACCACTGCAAAACCAAAACAAAACAATACTTGTCACATCTCAAGAAATATTTGACATTGTTTTCTTCTTTTCCCCCACAAAAAACAAAAGACAAGAAAATGGATAGTGAAAAAAAGTTACCTGTCTCAAGACATCACCAAGTGTTCTAGGTAAGGCTTCGAGATCTCTCAGCACAATGTAGTATGGGAAGGGGAAGGAATCCATATATGACATTTTCTGTAGNNCATTTTTTTCCCCGTGTACAAAGTTCTGTTNAGGGNAAAAANAAAACAGNTTTTAACGNCATGACAACTAGTTTCAATCTCATATCGAAGCCATAGGTAGGAAGAATGGACATACCAGTAGATCCAGAACAGATTGATTCCCGTTATCAAGAAGTAGATACACCACCATACGCTTCTGCTGGAGAAACTTCCTCACAGATCGTTTCAATATCTCTCGCTCATGGAACTTGCCATCACCAATGATCAGTACAAGTTGTTGAAGTGGGTTGCTCCCGTAAGACTGTCGTCTTGTGCTGGCCAAATTCTCAAGCATTTCATTCATGTTTCTCAGCAGATTGACGACTGGGTTATCTTTAATGAGATTTTCTTGTTTAAATGTTAAACCTGATACCATCTGTGAGAAAAAAGAAATGGTTTCCGTGAGAAATCACAAGAGCAGGGACAATGCAGAGAAAATAAAATCCAGTGCTACGACATGGGATTGAAAAACTTAAGACGACTAACCTTTATACCGGATTCTGTGGTGAAAGACTGACCAAAATCATGCAACATCTTTATGCTTCCTTCCTTTCCAAAACTTGCAACCGCCAAACTTCCCATCTCAAGCTGTGACATAGCTCGGCACACAGTTGCCAGAGCTCTNATTNCAAAATCACCACATCCACCTTCCAACATGCTACGCGAATCATCCACAGCAATAACAACCTGGTAATCACGCTTGTTTGGTTTTGTCCTCCTCAACCAAATCTTATCTTTCCTATAGTGGCTTGCTATGTATGGAATAACTTTTTTCATGTTGATCCTTTTACCCGTTCTGTAATCACCACTGAGCTTGCTAGCAAGTGTGGGTTCCAGAATAAGACGCAGCTGCTCAGCCAGCTCCTGAGACGGTTTCGCAGTAAGCAACTCACATCTCCTCCAAAGAACAACTGCATTACTTCTGGCATCAGGATCTTCCTCATTAACCTCATTGTTTTCCGAGTCCTTCTCAGTCACCTCCATCCAGTCCCGATTACATCCATCTTCCCCCAAGAAGGTATTGTCAACAGAGACCGTAGAGTCCATCCTGCTGTTACCATCAACAAAATTCTGAATAGGAGAGTTGTCTTGGTGTGTCCTGTCTGTATCTGATTCTTTGACCAGTTCAGCAATGCTATTCCTGATCGACGGTTTGGACTGAACAGCAGGTTTGTTTTCGGGGTTCACATCATCAACATCCATCGGAGAGGCTTCATCTTGATTACCTGCGAGTCTTTCTTCCTCAGATTCCCCCTCTCTCATATCTGTGTTCACTTGCTCAGGCAATGCAGGTCCTAGAGCCTGGGAAGTTCCTACATCAAACTGAGAAGCATATCCAAATTCACCAGCATCAGGGTCTTCCATCTCGTTTTCAGCCTCTTGCTTTTCTCCAAGGTCTGAGGAGACTCTAACTCTTTCTTTCCACTCATTCAATGCATCACCAACGTTCCTATAAGGATTCACCTTGGTTTGTTGAGATGTAGATGACTGGTTTTGAGGAAATTCCATCTTTCCTATGTTGTCCGTCAATGTCTCACCACTGGCCAAGTTAGTCATAGTGAAGTTCATCTCAGTGTTACTACCCAAAGGCCAATCCATTGAATCTGTGAGTTCATCCGAAATATTAGTAGCTGTCAAATTTTCTTGTGGTGCTGTACTTCCTCCCCCCAACCCATTAGATCCAAGAGGATTTTGTGAACCGGAATCACTGCCAGAAATATTATCATTACAGAAGTTTGGCTTCATTTCTTCTGACATAGTTTCTCTTCCTTCTGTTGGTTCCGTTTCAGCTTTGTCTTCAACATCAATCCCAGGATCTTCTTTTTGGGGTGATTCACACACATCTTCAGCCCCATCCTCCATTGTTTCCCCAGCAGGCTCTTGCGTTTCTTGATCATTTTGACCTTCTTCAGGATTCTTTTGATCTTCTGGACTAGGTTCTTCCTGCTGATCTGCATCTTCCTTTCCAACCTCTGTTTCGTCAATCTCCATGTTATCATCAATCTGTCCATTGTCCACATCAGGAGTTAGTCCAGGTGGATCTGCAAGTGCTTCTTCCTTGTTCTGGATTTTATCTTCTAAATTTTCAGTGTCACCATCCTGATTCACATTCTCATCGTTCCCTTCTTCCGGTTTGTCAGAATTATTGGACTCCTCAGGCTCATCAGCAGTATCAACACCATCATCCTTCGCTCTTAGCTCCCTTGAACTTGTGTCCTTGTCGACAACAGATGGTCCAGA